TAGCTGTGGTTGGTTCAGAACTAGCTGTGGTTGGTTCAGAGCTGTGGGTGGTTCAGAGCTGTGGTTCAGAACTGTGGTTCAGAACTAGCTGTGGTTCAGAACTGTGGTTCAGAACTGTGGTTCAGAGCTGGTCTGTGTCTGCAGGTACCAAGGCCCTCTGTTGGAGGACGGAGCTCTGGAGTCTTCAGTCAGTGGAGGAGCAGCTTCACCAGAGTTCACAAAGCTCTGTGCCTGGATTGTCTCAGAGCTCAGACTTTACCTCAAACTGGAAGAAAATGTCCACGCCACCAACTGTAAGACTGGTTTAATCCTTGATCCACTGCAGTGTTTGACAGAAGACTTTGACTTGGTTTAGCCTCTGGTCTGTTCTCACTGGTTGGCGACAGTGACATTACATTCGTGTGTCTGTAACATGTTAGTTGACACAGATTAAATTGTTTCTGCTCTCTTTGTGACTTGTCCTTCTCTCCTTCTCAGGTCCAAGTGAGGCCGAGAGCTTTCAGCTGGAGATGAGTGGTCTTCTGTCGGAGCTTGTTTGTCCTTACGCCATCCTCACCAGCGAAAACATCACCCAGAGGTTCCTCAGAAGGAATGACTGTCTGCTGCTCCTCAGTATGACATTTCTTCATTGCTCAGGGCAACTAATTCAGAGCTAAAATATTTCTAGCATCTTCCCCATAAAGCTTCTAGAAACTTAAGTGCATTTAAATTTTTCTCACATCTAAGCGTCCTCTGTGTGACTAACCCTCTGTGGAATCCCGTCGTCAGCCTTTTTAGTGTCCGAGTTGGAGGCGTCCAGAATGATCCTGGTCAACAAGCCTCAGAAGAAAGCTCAGGAGTCCGGCAGCCCCGCCTTCCAGGAACTGAAGGGGATCTGCATGACACTGGGAATGTCCAAGCCTCCACCCAACATCACCATGTTCCAGTTCTTCAGTGGAATCGAGAAGAAGGTTAGTTAAGACTGGATGATGCAGAATGTTTACTTTTGTGCAAACAAGTGTTTTTGCTTAATTTAATATTTAATGTTTAGTGTCAACACACAGGAATAACAAAATTATCTCATGTTCAGTAGTACTATCAGTAAAATATTTGCTTTTTGGAGACATTTGACCTCATCAGTTTTGTACATGTGTACTGTTTGATCCATAGTACTAGGCTAAAAATAGAGTAAGGGAAAAGTTTTGTAAGTTTGTTCACTTGTGTACAACACAACAAACGGTCTCTAATTTATTGTCAGTTTCATTTTAATGGAAAGAGAGGGAATATAAATAAATAAATAAACATTAAATGAAAGGTACAAATGTATTTTGGCCCACTCTTCTTTACAGAAACTCTAAATCCTTCAGCTGCTGCGTGACATCTTGAAACTTCAGCTCCCTCCACAGATTTTCTACAAGACTGAGGTCCTGAGACTGGCCAGGCCACTTCGTGACCCTTGAGTGCTCCTTAGATCATGTTCCTCCTTTGGTGCCTTAGATCACGTGTCAAACTGAAGGCCCGGGGGCCAAATGTGGCCCTCATTGACATCTTATCTGGCCCCCAAGATGATATACTTATCAATACTTTTATCACTTTAATTTTTTCAGTAATCTTTGATTACGATGTCAAAAGTGCAACAGAGAACATCAAATGAGACCAGTCAAACTCTTGTTGAGGAACCTGCAACCAAGAAAAGATGTTTGGTTTCTAACTGGAGTTGACGTAGTTTCTGAAACTGGACCTCAGTTTGAAAAAAGATTTTAATTTTGGCCCCCTTTTGTACGTGAGTTTGACACCCCTGCTTAGATATATTTTTTTTATCATTCTCATTTGAAAGACCCATCCATGACCCAACTTCTGAGTTCTGGCTAAGGGGAGAAGGATTTTGTCCAGTATTTTAATGATTCATGGCTCACTGCAGTTAAATTTTACTATACGCTTCATATAAGATCAGTCCCAAAGCATAATGTTTCCACTGCCATGCTTAACTGAGGGGATGGTGTTCTTTAGGTCACACCATCCCCTGAGTTAAGCATGGCAGTGGAAACATTATTACTCATCGTTTCTCTTTCTCCAAATATGACAAAGAGCTCGATGTAGGTCTCATCTGACCCCAGCACTTTCTCTAAAGCCTTCTGTGACTCATTTGGATCAGGGACCCTGATGAGCCCAGTATCTGGGCTGAGAACCAGTACTAATCTATGGATTGTTTTTTTTTTCTCCGCTGGTCTGTGGGAAATGTTTCTGAGTAAACACGCTTCATGATGCAAAAGTTGGGGACCGTGATTTTGATGTTTAGTGCAAAATGTAAGATGACGGCTCCATCTTGTCCGTGACGACGTCGGACTGCTCTTAGGTTTTGCCTGTGGTGGTCGAGAGGTTGGACTGGAAGGAAGTGATTCTGCGTTCAGGTGTGCTTTATGTACACAACAAGATGAGATCAGAAGTTTAACTATTGGATGATTGTTGGTCATCTGTGCACAGGATCCTTACACAACCGGTCTGTGGCAGCTAGAAGTGCGTCTGGGTTAAATAAGATTAAATACGTATTTCCTGCAACGAGTTGTAAATCATATGGTTAATTTTATGTAAGGTTTTTATGAATTGTTAGTTTAAATTCAGTTTATTAAAATTAAACTACAATAAATATTAGTGAACAAACTTACAAAATTGGCGGGGCTTCAAAACTACTGTACACTCAAATGACATTTTGTTTTCTGTCGTGCAAACATTTAAATCTTACACAGCTGCATGTTTTTCTCCTGTCCAGTTGAAAGAAGCCACAAGTCGAGTCCCGCCGAATCACATTGGAGAGCCACTGATGAAAAAGCTCCTTGGACCTGTGCACCTGGTAAACTAGAAAATGACAGAAATAAAGAGACTGGAAACACTGTACAAGAAGTCACTCCTCATCGTTTTTCCTTTTTCTCATTTTCCAGGAAAAAATCGAGGCTATAAACCAAGCACTTGTAAACGAGTATGATGTAAGAAGGAAGATGTTGCTGAAACGACTCGATGTGACGGTTCAGTCCTTTGGTTGGTCCGACAGAGCAAAGGTCCGTCTCAACCTAAAGCAAAACACAAGTGCCTTCTTTTTACCTCCCACAGTCATGAAAGGCTGCATTTTAACAAAATATCTAATGAGCTACCAGACGATTAATAACACTTTCAGTAGTCAGTTAACGTCTACAACTAATTAACTTTTTGGAGTTGTTCGGATTCAAGATGGCTGCCACAGGTCTTGATCCAAAAAAAAAACCCTGTAACCAAGTCTTTTTATTTTTTAAAGTATCAAGCCCAGATTTGTTATTGCAGCTGAGAGTAATCCATAATATATAATCTAAAGATGTTTATACTTTGTCGTGCAAAGCAGCAGGTATACGTTTCTTCAAGGAATGCTACTTGTAAATTATTTGTGCTTGTTCAAACAAAACTAGTTTAAACATGAGATACTCTGTTCTGTGAGTGTATGGAAGATCTAGTAGAAAAACTGCTTAAAGGTGAAGACCTTTACAACCCTTGTAGCTGGAGACCACTTATATATGCATACATACATAAGGCATTTTAATCCCTTCCCACACTCTTACAATATTTTAAACAATGTTTATAAACTCTAAATGCTCTAAAAGTGCACAGACTGTCATGATTTCAGCTCCCTGCCTCCACTGCTCTTTACCACCTGCCACGCCCACTTCTCCACTCTGCACAGAGAACATCCGATCAGCTGCAGGAGGAAGTTTATCCTGCAGCGTGGGCTGCACAAATGTGCAGCAGGTGCTAAATAATTTATTTTAAATAAAAATTACATGCTGATCATGTGGCTCATCCATCAATCAACCAATTGTGTGTCATGTCCAATCTTATTTTGAAAAACCGCGATAGAGCGAGTCCGAGATAAATGAACCATGAAGTAGTGAAGTACTACTGTATTATTACATGTTGTACAAGTCATATTCTGTGGTACTTAATTTTTTTGCCCCTCTTCTTACAGACGCAGGCTGAGAAGTTGGCTAAAGTGTACCAGCCACTGCGTTCTGCCCTGAACACCAAAAGTCAAATCTCTGTCGCTTGTCTTCTTGCTGTACGACAAGATTTCTCCAAGATCCTTCGAACGAGCAGCGGCAAAATAAGAGAGAAGACCGCTTGTGCCATAAATAAGGTGGGTTCATCACAACGGAGTTGCACAATTTTAATCATCATTTTTTAATATTTTTTTTTTTTGGGGGGGGGGGGGGGTCCTGAGTGTTACTCAGAATCTGGGTTCCACTTCCTGTTTGAACTTCAGACTGCAGCAGCATTGGCACCCATAAGAATTCCTTCAGAAAAGTTAGTTTTTATATTAAATCTTCTCTCCAGGTTCTCATGGGCCGAGTGCCCGACAGGGGCGGCAGACCCTGCGAGATCGAGCCTCCCCCTCCAGAAATGCCCTCCTGGCAGAAGCGTCAGGATGCCCCCCAAGGAGGAGGACACGGAGGTGGCAGAGGGGGCTATGATAACTACTCCCAAGGAAACCGTGGAGGCTATGAGAGAGGAGGTGGAGGAGGACACGAGGACAGGGGAGGGAGAGGAGGAGGTGGGAGAGGGGGGAAGGTGCAGGGAAATTGGGGGGACGGAAGGGGAAGGGGGGGTTACAACCAGGGCCACTATCAAGAAACGGGAGGTCACCACGGGGGAGGAGGGAGAGGAGGATACAGCCGAGGAGGCTTTCAAGATTCCGGCTATCATGGAGGAGGAGGAGGTGGAGGGGGTTACCACAACAATTACAGCCAAGATGGCGGGGGCTGGCACCAGGAGAGGGGAGGGGGCCGTGGAGGTCGGGGGGGCAGGGGGAGAGGAGGACAAGGAGGTGGCTGGGGTGGCAGAGGGGGTCAGAATTTTAATCAAGGGGGACAGTTTGAACAGTTCTTCCAACATGGAGGGCAACAGTACGGCCAGTCTGGCTTCAGTCAGGGCAGAAACTTCAGCAGCTGAAGACGAGAGCAGGTCCTCTGAACTGACGGAGCAGCTGCTCACATGCAGCCACTCATCCATTCACACTCTGGCTCCAGACTGTCACAGGTTTGCAGTTTCTCTCTCTTTCTTTTTTACCTCAGAGTTCAAACCCCACATTTTTAATGTAAAGGTGAAGTCGATCAGTTGAGCTCTGCTGTTTTGACCTCGCCTCAAAACTTTGTCAGCCTTATTAAAAAAAACAACCCTCCCTGAAAGCATACGTTTGTCATCATGGTTTAGTTTTGGTGCACCTGCTACGTACACTTCTTCATTACCTGTAGGTTGCACTGACTGGGGTTATTACTTGAAAACATTTTTTTTTCTAATCCTCATTTTGTTTCCATATGTTTGACAAAAATATTGTTATTTAAAAACAAAAATGGTTAAATCATGTCTTATCATACTTATTTAAAAGTTGCCAAGTTGTACTGCTCATGAACGGCTGTGGATGTTGGAAGGTTCGCATGGATGAGTGAACGAGCAATAAAAGTTACAAGTACGCTACAACTTGTTACAGTGGTGTGGTTCTTAATCTGTATAACTGCAGAATATAGTTACCTGAGAATGTACCTTTGTAAATTGTTTGCTTAGCAAACAATTTACATATATGAATTAAAGTAATTTGTCTTTACTGGGTTCTAAAATTAGAACAATTTAATCTCAAGTGTCAAACAACAGATTCCATCACGCTATTTAAATCTGAAGCCAAAGTGGAAAACCTGTGTTCATAATTACTGCTTTCATATGATTTATGAGGGAAAGTTCAATTCAGTTTATTAAATTTATATAGCACCAAGTCACAAGAGAAGTCATCTCAGGGCACTGAACTGAAATATTCACATACATAAAAAGTAAGTTAATAACATTATATATGTGAGGAGCAGACTGCTCTGAGTTTAACTCCATCACAGAACTCTCATCTTGAGCAAGCCTGAAGGCGACAGTGGAAAGAAAAACTCATGAGGAAGAAACCTTGAGCAGAACCAGGTTCAGGACAAGTGTCCATCTGCTTCGACCAGCTGGGTTTGAGACGGGGCTTAATTTGAGCTGGATCCTGCTGGAACAAGATCTGGGGGCTCTTATTTTGACAGTGTGCGTTCCAGAAACTGCTTGGATCCGGTAACTCTAATCTCCACCTGTAAAAGTCCAAAGTCATTGCGCATTTTTATAAAATAAAAAAATAAACGGTACAACTAAATTGCAAATGACTGACCATTTAAGTTGCTTATGACCAAAATATGAGAGAAATGTTTATTATTCAGATTGTCGCGTATCAAAACAGCGGCGCTAATTTGTCAAAATAACAGCGATCAAAATGTTGAAAAGACAGTCCTATTTACTTTAATAAAATGAATGGAGTGGGAGCAACAACGTGCAGGACTGAATTCAGCAGAGAAGAGTCGTGGGTTGGGATGCTTGACAGAAGTGGAGCTGCTCTACTCATGCACAAGGAGAGCTGCTGTTCTCTAATAGAACAGTGTTTCCAAATGTAGGTAAATGTAGATGGTTAACCTGTTAAAATGCACCAGAATGTAGGAAATGGCATCTACTTCATTCAAAATGTTTTCAGGGAGGACACACAGACCCCACTGCATCCCCTGCTCCCCCTCCCTATCCTGCACCTCCTGCTGACCCGCACTCCCCGCCCGCTACGTTCCAGCATCGGTTTACAAATTAAGCTCTGGTATGAGGACAGGAAGGAATGGACACACACTGGCAGGTCAAGAATCACATGTTAAGATAGAAATAGTATCAAATTAAAACTAATTTTAACAATTCATTTTAAGAAATGAGGTCAGTTTGTCCTCTAGTAGTCTACGTCTGTGGCAGCATACGCCATTCTATAGGATTTATGAAAAGGAAAGTCTTAATCCTAGTCTTAAAACTGGACAATGTGTCAGCCTCACGGACAGAAACTGCAAGTTGGTTCCACAAGAGAGGAGCCTGATAATTGAAATGTAACTCCCAATGACGACTCAGGCACGGCTTCTTTATTTAAAACGGGCGCTTTAATGAATGCTGTGAAAACTAAAGGAATAAGACACAAAATACAGAAATAAAACACAAAGTTTTAGGTACTGTACCGAGCGACGAGTAAAAACAAACTATCAAAAGGTGTACCTCGTGGCCGCTCATCATTAAAGAGGTCCTAGACAAATGTTTTTCGTCTTGTGCTCTCTAAATAACACATAAAATAATTAGAACACCATAACTGACAGATTTACAACGTATTACAACAGTTATAAATATCTTTACAGCTAGTGAACTATCACGGCTGCCCCCCACCTCTCGTGTCTTCAGGTAACTAACTTCAGGTAAATGTGCGTAATGAGCACAGCAGATCTTTTCATTCATGCTTTATTTAGACGGGTAAATCAAATCTTGCCACTCCCTTACGTTCACACAAATCTCGCGATAACGTACAACAAAAAAATAGTCCTTCGTGACAGAATAAATGCATCTTGTACAAAAGATAAAACATATTTTCAAAATGTGAACTAAACAAACTAAAAATAAATATTCATTTTTTCAATGCATAAATCATTGTGGTGACACTTACACTCCCATCAAATCACCAACTGGTTCTGAATGTGATTTTCTGATGAGTGTCAAGATTAGTTCGTGTTTCTGTATCAGTCTCAAGTAAAGTCACTACCTTGTCAATAGGTCTTTCTACTGGATGTGGTTTCACTGGTCTTTAGTTTCACTTTTCCAACCTTGTCGTCTGGACTTTCTAGAGTCTCTACTACTAGAGCTAGTTTCTATTTACATCTTGGAGCATTATCATCTTGTAGGATCACAATGTCGTTCACTTGCAGGTTCCGTGAAACTTTCTGCCATTTCTGTCGCTTTTGGAGTTTTGTGGCCTTTCTGCCTCTCCTACACTCATTACAGTGGTAGATGTGCAAAGAGACCATATGTCCACATCCTAAAATCCATATGCCATTTGCACGCAGTTCATTCATAGTCATGCCTCTTCCTTGGTGATGTACACGTTCATGGCCGGTGGGGGGTCAGATTCAGATAAACTTTGATTGTTGATTTTTCTTAAGGCAGACAGATTTTTTTCTTCAGCCTTGAGTCCATCTGGACGTTCTGGTTTCAAAAAGGCCTAATTGTGGGATTCCATTCCACTGACCCATGCTATGAGTCTCCTTCAAGGTCGATCCCACCGAGCTGACGAGTCCCAAAGTTCTAGGTTCTAGAATTGTGCCGCTCAAGGTGGCTGCATGTTGGAGCAGCTCTGTTACTTTCATTCTGAGATTTTGCTTTTGGAAACTTTAATTCCTCTTTTTCTGGATGTGAATCACATTTTTTGGATGATTGTTTCCTCTGGTATCAGATGCTGTGCAGCTGGAAGGATTTTTACTGAAACTTTTTTAGTTTTGGACATTTGTTATGATGCGTAACCATGGCAACAAGGCAGTTTCTACAACCAACAGTAGCTGATTAACATATCAAAAGCTCAAGTAATATCTCAACTACAGCCCCCAATTTCAAATGAGTTGAAAAGGATGTTCTGTGGACGCATTCTCATCTACCTGCCAGCTGTGCTCGAGTGCCTGACCACTGAGATCCTGGAACTAGCAGGAAACACGGCTCATGACAGCAGAAGGACAGGATCGTCCATCAGCACCTACAGTTGGCTGTCCGCAGCGATGAGGAGCTCAACAAGCTGCTGGGAGGAGTGGCCATTGCCCTGGGAGGATTTCTGCCCAATATTCAGGTGATCCTGAAACCCAGGAGGACAACCAAGTGCTAGTAAACGGATCAACATCTGTGGCCAGTTTTTTCAGATCTGCTATAAGATGGACCATCACAAGAGATCCTTCCCGCCCACAACCATCAACATCTAGAACAACTCTTTTATGAAACAAGGAAAATGAGCTACAACAACATTTAATTTCCCTCTGGGATTAATAAAGTATTTTTGAATTGAATTTGAAAAGCCGCCGGTGGCCTGCGATTCTCAGAAATCGCCTACTACATTCATAAATGTTGATTTGCAAAATGCCCTCTCTCATTCCCTGCTCTTGAAAATGAACTCTCCTTGTTAAAATATGTCTGAGTAAGATGCATAACACAAATGCAGCAAAATTGTACGAGGTAATGAAAGAGTTTCAGATAGTAAACCCCTAATATATATTTTTTGTTTTATTTTTTCTATTTTTAATTTTATTTAATACTTTGTTTGAACCTCTGTTACCTAAATTATTCTGTATGTTTGTTATAGAATTTGTGGATGCTGTCTATCACGTGTGCTAAGATTCATAACTGGCTGTGATTATCGTACCCACCACTGCACCCAGTATTCACTGGTTAACTGGACATCATTAACTTCACGCAGACTCTCTCACTGGTACATTTTCATCTTTAAATCACTTCTTGGTCTGCTGCCTTCATACATCTCCTCCTACATGTCTCTGTGTGAGTGCAGCTACAGCGTGCGCTCTCAGGACATTATGCAGTTTCCCTTCAGTGCAGACTGAACTTGGCAAAAGGACACAAGGACCTTCTCCTACTCCGCTCCTGTTTCATGGAATATCTTACAAAAAGACCTGAAGCTCTTGACCTCTAAGTGACTTTAAAACTCTGTTAAGTTCCTGGCAAAAACCAATGCAGACATGTTCCTGTTTTAGTTTTCTACATTCGCCTTATAATCTAGTTGTTTTTCTACTTTTTTGCCATCTTATTTTAATTTGTAAAAAAATAAAATAAAATCTGTACACCTCTTTTATGATTGTCTATTGTTGTTGTCCAAGCTGTTGTCATCACTCTGTTGAAATCAGGTCTCACTTGTAAATGAGTCATCGATGCTAAATGGGATTAACCTGTCTAAATAAAGGTTGAATGAATGGGGAAAAAGGTATAAACGATGATTTGAAAGACTTCGTGTGTTTTGTGTCATACTTCAGACAAAACCACTCTTATTTTGAAAAGTGTTCCCCGGATGTTTTCTCTAATATTTCCGGAATCAGCTACAGTCGGTAAACTCTACGCAGATGCGTGCTATGAAAGCAACCGCGCATTTGCCTGTAAATTAATAATACGTCCCTCTAATCCGTGCTCTTCACTCGGTCAGTGATTTGTAGGCTCATCATGTTCCGCCACGATCCTCCTGTCCGCTGCCCACCTCCGCCGTTTGGACCCGTTCCTCGTCACCGTCCTCCTTTTAGAGGCCCGTGTTCCGGACCTCCTCCACGGCACTTACTACCAAGACCCGACAGACCGTTTCTGGCCGCGGAGAACCATTACCTGCGCAACAGGCGGCCCAGGGGCCACTACGTGAGTGTACGTACCCGAGGCTGTGGCTTTAGCTAATTCATTGGAGCTGCGGTGAAGGCGCACAGGCTGTGTGTGTTTGTGCGCCTTCACTTGGTCCTTAGAAGAGTCTTCAACTTTTCCCAAGCGTGTTTCACTCTTTGTTACAAACATATTCACCCACTCTGATTGCTGTTGTTTAGTTTTGATGCTTTACAGCTTGGACTCATTGCAAAGTAGCAAACATTAAAAGGGTATCTTGATTGGAACAGTATTAATGGTGTATCCTGATGCATGCTCAATAATCCAGGTAGAAAAATCCAAAAAAGTTCAATCTGGTCCTCTGGACATTCAAAAAAACAAAAAACAAAACAAAACAACAAAAAATCTAGAAACGTTTCGTCTCTCATCCAAGAGACTTTCTCAGTTTGAGGTGCTGTTTTCAGCTCAGTCTCTTAAATAGCACCTTCTCAGAGTGGATCAACCAGTTTTGCTGCTGACAACCAAAACCAGCTGATCACATGCTCAAGAAGGACCATCAGCCTAACAATGGATCATTAGCACACTGATGGCTGTTTACTGTTCACAGAGGGCTGAGTGATACTAGCAATCACAGCATTGTAAGAGGGGGACAATTGAACCCGGAGGCCTCCACCCCTGTTTAATGATGGACGGTTTCTTTTCACAAAGATGGCCTCCTTTACTCCTCTCTCAAACCATCGTTCCTCTCTATCCAGGATGTGAACATCTTCATCCCTGAAAGAGTGACCGCTGGCCTGGAGATGAGTGTAGACCGCAGAGTCCTGGCCTGATGATGTTGATCTTCTGTGCTGGGCCATCCTTTTGGCCAGTGGCTGTTTAGTTTCCCCGATGTAAGACTGATCACAGCCCTCCTGACACTGAACAGCATACACAACATTACTCTGTTTGTGCCGGGGGACTGGATCTTTGGGATGAACCAGTCTTTGCCGTAATGTATTTTGGGGTTTAAAAGCCACTGGGACGTTATGTTTAGAAAATAAACGTCTCAGTTTCTCTGATACTCCCTCAACATATGGAATGACCACTGGTCTGGGTCTGGGTTCCTCCTTTTCACCTGATGGCTGACTGGAGTCCTGTTTGGGTTTCTTCTCTGCTTTCAGGAAGGCCCAGTTAGGATATCCACATTGCTCTAGAGCCTGTTTTGTGTAGGATTTCTCCTTCTGCCTGGCTCCCGAGTTAGTGGGGATGCTGTCTGCTCTGTGATACAGAGTCCTGATGACTCCTAACTTGTGCTCCAAAGGGTGATGGGAGTCAAACTGCAAATACTGGTCTGTGTGGGTGGGTTTGTGTTACACCTCGGTTTGCAATTGTCCTCTATCAGAGACTGAGACCTCACAGTCCAAGAAAGCCAACTTGCAATTTTTTTACATCTTCTCGTGTGAACTTGATGTATTTATCCACAGAGTTGATGTGGTCAGTAAAATGTTGGACTTTCTGAGATTTAATTTTAACCCAGGTGTCTCCAGGCCAGCGGTCACTCTTTCAGGGATGAAGATGTTCACATCCTGGACAGAGAGGAACGATGGTTTGAGAGAGGAGTAAAGGAGGCCATCTTTGTGAAAAGAAATCGTCCATCATTAAACAGGGGTGGAGGCCTCCGGGTTCAACTGTCCCCCTCTTACAATGCTGTGATTGCTAGTATCACTCAGCCCTCTGTGAGTAGTAAACAGCCATCAGTGTGCTAATGATCCATTGTTAGGCTGATGGTCCTTCTTGAGCATGTGATCAGCTGGTTTTGGTTGTCAGCAGCAAACTGGTTGATCCACTCTGAGAAGGTGCTATTTAAGAGACTGAGCTGAAAACAGCACCTCAGACTGAGGAAGTCTCTTGGATGAGAGACAAAACGTTTCTATATTTTTTTGCTTTGTTTTGTTTTTTGTTTTTTTGAATGTCCAGAGGACCTGATTCAACTTTTTTGGAAAGTTTCAGATAGTTGAACAGGTTGAAAAAATAATAATGTAGAGATTTTAAACAAAAAACCTACAAGCATTAAAATAAAATAAAAAAAACATTTAAATTCGATATATTTATTTGAGGCTGACAGCTTAAATAAGATGGTTGATTTTACCTCTGAGGAACATGAATAAATAAAGTTAAAGGGTTAAAACTGTCTAGTTCAAATAAGATAATAATGTCTAGTTAGAGAAAACAGGTTTTTGAGCTGCATGCATTCAGCTGTGAGCTGCAAGATAAAGAAAAAAGATAATTGTGAAATAATTCTTTGTTAGATGACCGCATTGTAAATGTATGTTATCTCTACAGAACTGATTGACAGCTGCTGCTGATTATGACTTCATAATTCTTTTCATGCCTGTGATGCTGGTAAGCAGCATCACATCAATTATGTGAGGGGACATGTCCCCCTCACATTTAAAAAATATTTGTTTGGACACCCCCCCCCCCCCCACACACACACACACATTTACCATGAAATATTAGTTCACGCAGCATTGTTTGTATTTCTTTGTGAACAAATCCATTCCACTTGATTAATAGAAGAATAGTTAAAGCAGTAAAAGTTCATTCTGGGTTTTCAACAACTCTCCGCACTGCATGCACTTTTTCCCCTGGGTACTTGTCTTGGCAGGGGACACTCATCTCTTGGGGTTTTTGTAGACAGGGTAGGGGGAGGAGGGGGAGACGCTTCTGTGTGGCATGCTATCTTAGCGCTACGTTAGTGCCGGCAGTTGTCAACCGGGGTGTGGCTGTTAGGATGCTTGAGGTGAGCAGAGCGTGCTCTATTCACACAAGGAGAGCTGTTGGTCAGGCTACTTTGTGTTGCTCTCTAAAATAGTTATTGAATCAAGTTACTTACCTAGGTAAACATAGATGATTAACCCCTTAAAATACACCAGAATACAGGAAATGGCATCTACTTTATTCATATTTTTCAGCTCCTACTCTGAAAGTTATCTAGAAGGCTGGGAGTCCTAAAACCAGCTCTGTGGAAACTTCCTTTTAAATTTATTGCAAATTAATTGACTGAAATGTGTCTGTTCAATGTGTTGAGTCTTTTTGAGTTTTTGTACTGCGTGGCAGCACTCTGGGTCACATATTTTATGTTGTTTAAGTTCAAATACATTGAAACTTCATTTAAGTCATTGTTACTCAAAGCTGAATTGTTTGTTGTTAAAAGCAGTTATTTGCACTTTTCAGAGAGCATTTTTAATAAACGTTGGCAATATGCCATGATTTTATTCAATCACCACCACAAAAAAAGTTTCAGGCTCAGGATTTTTTTTCACTTCAAGTCCTGCCGTCATCGATGTTACAGCGTTTGAAGAGAAAACACCCGCTATTTGCATCAAACTCGTCAGCAGCTGCAACAGGTATCGTTTATGTTCTCTTCGCAAAATATGTTAACCTAAATGTGTGATAATCTGTCATGTTATAAATGTAAAATGAGGCATATTTTTGCTAACATTACATCTATCAACTAATCATAGTGGCTACCTGGCAGGATGTTATCTGTAAGTTGTGTGAGGAAAAAAAAACTGCAGGACTTCGTGAAAGTTTAACAATAAAATCAGCAACAGACTGACACATTTATTTATTGCTGTACTTCCTTCCATCCTGACTTAAATGACATATTTAGGGTGAATATTTCAAGTGTAAATGTTTTTACATGAGTTAGGATTTTTTTTTCTAGCTACTGCTGTGTATGACTTTGAGAACTGGGATTAATCTGCATTTATTACTACTGTCATATTTGTTTGTAGCAAAGCAATCAAGACTAAATAATAATACAGTCTTATAAAACTAGCAATGTATTTTTACCATTTACAATTACAAGTTAAGTCTAGAGAACTCGACGTACAAACTCAAACTTTTACATTATCTGTCTTACTTACTCGATTTCTAACATAAAGATTCCATTCAGTTTTCCAATCCATAAAAATTATTTGATAGTATTTAGATATTTCTGTGATGGTTAAAAATAATTCAGTGACAGAGGGTTTTAATTAAAGCATCCTCAAACCTCACGCATAAATAAAAACAAACTGCTTAAATCAAATACAACTAACACTAATGTTACTTTGATTGCAGCAGGTCATCAAAAAGTGTAGATTACTTAACAATATTACATAATTTTATAATATCCAATGTAGTACACTCGAAAATGTATTAATGCACAACAATGAACACACAAATAATTATTTTTATTCTACTTCTTTTCAGTGAGTGGCAGAGTCATACGTTGGGACAGCTTCATACAAAGGGCTCCAGGATGTTCAGTTGTGCAGCAGCTGAGTTCACAAGCAGCATTTTAAATATGATCATCACAGACATGCAGCCGCTGTCTGTGGTGGAAGATGAAGGATCCAGAAGATCATCTCCACCTTCAATCCAAATTTATTTATTTCTCTTCTGTTGTTGCATTTTGGAAAAAAAGCAAGAGTTTTGCTATACCACAGACTTGAAACTGAAATGGAGGTTCAACATGTTATTGCATTTTAAGCAATAAAATATTTTAAAAAGAAGAATTAAATGGGTTGTTTACGTAAATGTTCTTTTTCGTGTATTTTTATTATTCATAAAATGAGAACCAAATATTGTTTCCGACTATTCGATTAACCGGCACAATAATCAATAGATTACTTGATTACTAAAATAATTGTTCACAACACCCCTAGATGGAATATATTTTGGGTCTCATATGGGCCTTTTCCATAGCTCCTTTCCAGCACGGTTTGACTTGGCTCAATACGGTTCCAAGGCTTTCTCCACTAGCAGTTTTTCGTAGAACCGGCCCTTTTTTTCAGGACCCATTTCTTTGGGTTTCCAACTGGGCCAAACTGGCACTTAAACGTGAGGTCAGAACACTGTCAGTCACTGATTGGTCAGGGGGCGGAGTCACTGGCTGTTTGAGAAACTTTCACAACAACCCAATCCGCCATTTGCAATTACTCGGAACTCGAGCAGCGGCTGGACCTACAGGTGCTGGTCATAAATTTAGAACATCATGAAAAATTCATTCATTCAATCAT